TGAAGTCCTTAAAGGACAGTGTGTGTGATCCTGACTGGCTGGTCTCCATGTCACTCATGAACACCCTGAGGCGATCCTCCATCAGCTCGATAATCCCTTCCTTGATCGACCCAAAGATGACCAGGGTCGCATCAAGGATTCCTCTAGTGATCTCGGATGCGATGAACTCGCGTAGCCTCTCATCTACTGGTTTGGAACCTGAACCTGAACCCGATCCCTCTTCTGAACTACCAACTGTTAGCCTCGGATGTAGCACCACCATTATGCAATACATAATGACAACTGTCAGTGATACTGATGGCCTCGGTCTTGTCTCAGCCTTCCTTGACTCAAGCACGAATCATCTGCTTCTAGTAGTACGGGCCCATACTACCTTTCACATATATTCGTACTTTCCTCAAGAACTGCCTTGACTCCACCAAGTCCCTTCTACTACTGTCGATCTCTATTACTCTCATCCTAGGCTTGCCCTAGGGTACCTATAACTCCACCAAACCAGTCCTCAACTGCTGAAGGCCTCTTTGCAATTCCAATTAGCCATCATATGGATACAGTCACAAGCCACGAGGCTTAGATAATCCTTCGAGTAAGGGACTCATCCCTACAACGGTTAGGACTTAAAAAAGAGCTATGTAGTAGGGTCAAATCCAACACTCTGATATTATTCAACCCTAATAGCATGTAAGCTAACATACCCACCTAATAGCTAACTCCCATTACTCCGAACCCCATATAGCACAAAGCAAGACGCATTCAGACAAAAAGGAAGTAAGCTCAAGCAATCCTATCCACATAACAGGAAACTGTACTAGGATGTGATATAAGCTCATATAATCAGGCATAACCTAAGCAGGCTATCCTAGCTCTGTCAAATCATCACTATCATGCAGCGTAAAAGCACATATAACATGCACATAAGGCATCATTTCTGTAACATCCCAAGTTCAAAAGCATGAGTTCAAGGGTGTAAAGTGTTATTAGGAAGGTGGACTCGGCGAGTTGGAGCTATGACTCTTCGAGTCGAAGCGTGTGAAGAGCATGTGATTTAGTGGCCTCAGCCGCCGAGTCGATGTATGGACTCGACGAATTAGTGATGGGAAGAGAAAACCCTAAGATTTAGGGTTGTCATCCTATTTAAAGGATCTATTGTCCACCCCTCAGCCCCCTTACTACCCTTTTGAGATCCAGAAACCCTAAATCGTGAGTGAGAGTCCTTGGAAGCAATTTGGAGGCTAGATAAGTGATTTTGTGAAGAGATCCTGAAGATCAAGAAGCTTGGATCAAGGAGATTTTTTGGAGATTCGGATTATTCTTTAGTGAGAGGTCGTTTTGGAGGTGGTGGTGTTCGTGGCGGTGATCGGGAGTTTTGATTCTATCTCTCTAGCTCGGCAAGTGCAAGGTGAGTTATCCTCACTATATCAACAAGGTCTAACGCACCAAGGCTGACCCTTTATCGGATGGGAATCCGAGTATTTGTTTGATATGTTATTGAGTTGCTAGATCTGCATCCTGGTAATTAGGATGGTACTATGTTAGTGACATGGTTAAGGTCGGTATCCTGGTATATAGGGTAATGTTATGTTAGTGACCGGTTAGGTCGGTATCCTGGTTAGGATGTTGTTATGTTGTATGATTTGATTGAACCGTTTGTTTGGCTGAGGATTATTATATGATTAACTGTTTTATGTGCACATGGTTGTTTGATTGGGGTTGGGTTGAGGCGGGTCCTGCTTTGTGCTGTAGGCCAACATACCTAGGGCGAACCAGATAGACCGTAGGCCCAACGAGCGGTCCGGATAGGCTGAAGGCCCCAAGAGGGCGGTCTAGACATCCCGAGGCTCGGAGAGTGGACCAGAATGACTAAAGGCCCGGTGCGGGCGGACTAGTCATACTGTAGACTCAGAGAGTGGACCAGGTGGATTGAAGGCCCGGTGCGGGCGGACCAGTCACACTGTAGACTCGATATGCATGGCTGATCTGTATTGCGATATGATATGAGTACGGTTATATGTGGTTAGTATTTTGGGGGTAACTCACTAAGCTTTCGGGCTTATAGTTTTAGTGTTTTGTTTCAGGTACTTCAGGAGAACGTGGCAAGGCGAAGGCGTAATCGTACCGCCCCTTGTTTTTTTACACTGATGTTTCTAGGATACTCTATTAATAAACAAACTGAAAACTTTTTTGTAATAATTAATAGATTTGGGTTGTTTTTGAAAAGTTTAAATTTATTGTAAATACTATGGATGTTACACTTCCTAGATGCTGTTCTACTGAAACTGATAATCATAACATAAACTTGTATGGGTACTTTGGGGAAAATTTTACTTGAGCTCGGCCGATCGTGCACATCACACACCTCGTTCTTTCTTAAAACTTTTTAACTTAGCTTTTAGAAAACCATTTTCTTCGAAAAAAATCTTTTAACCGCTCAGTTTAAGGCCATACATCCCCGAGGGTGTGTCTGAATCCCTCAAACCATGACTCTGATACCAACTTAAAACAACCCAAATTTCACATCCAAAAATTTAATTTTTAATTAATGGATTTGCAAAACGTTTATAATTAACAATGTGAAATCATATCATCACATAAATAATGTATCATGTCTGAAAACCCAAATACTGAAAATAATATAATGTCAGAGTACAATCATATAATATATCATAATGCGGAAGGTAGCGAGAGAGTGTATGATGTGTAACTACCGCACCGACTCCTTCCCCTTTGCTGAAGAGGTACCTGAAACCAAAACTGTAAACCGTAAGCCCGAAGCTTAGTGAGTTCCCTCAACATACCACATACCATAAAATCACATAACATGCATATACTGTCAGGCAGATCTAGGTGCCCGACATACCCCTTCTGTCCTCTCGACCGAATACTGCCTAACATATATGGGTGTTGGCCTCCCCTTCGCTCCTCTCGAACGGATACTGCCTAGCATATATGGGTGCTGGCCTCCCCTTTGGTCCTCTCAACCGGCTACTGGGGACTATTTCACCTCTCTACTACTACCACATAACATGTAACACATAATCGTATTATATCTAGTATGACTACCTCCTTTGGCCCTATCGACCGGAAATCTTGGGGACTGTCTCCTATACTGCTACTAACATATAACATCATATCATACTAGCACATAACATAACAGGTAGTAGCAAACCTAGATGAATATCACAAAGATAGTCATCTAACATACGACTCCTACTGGTGGGCCGACCTTGGTGCCTTAGACCCACCGCTACTGGAAGGTAACTCACCTCGTAAGGTTGACTGCTGAAAAGCTGATCGACAGATGTCTGACTGCTGCTTCGGTGATCCTACAACTATAAATCCATAAAACACTTAATCAGACACTGATAACTACTCTTAGGGGAAATGACTATTTTACCCCTGACCAAGTCAAAGTCAAAGTCAACTTTCAGTTAACCTGACTCGCTGAGTTGGGCCGCCAACTTGTCGAGTCCCTATCCTTTCAACTGCCCTCATCCACGCTTCTACTCGTCGAGTTTAGCAATGAATCGATGAGTTCTCCTTCTTTACGAACCTCGAATGATCCTTCATCCGACTTGCTGAGTTGTATGAGCAACTCACCAGGTTCATCTTCAACTGTTGAACAAGTCCTTGACCTTGAATCGCCGAGTTGTATGAACAACTCGTCAAGTTCATCTTCATTTGCTGGGAGATGGCCTTGGACTCGCCGAGTCTACTCATGTACTCGTCGAGTCCTATGAACTCCAGGTCTATGGCAAAGTCCAAAACGTTGGGTCACTCCCTTGGACCCTTTAAAACCCTTCTAACACTCAACTGGGTTCCTTTGAACCCTAACAGAAAAAGGGAAGGCAAGCCTCAGACTCACCGAGTCCCAAGAACAACTCGCCGAGTTGAGGTTTTCCAAGTCTCATTTCCCGATTTCTGATGTACAACACTTGTCCAAATGATAGATCTAGGCTTTTAAGATCGATCTAGAACGTAAAGTTACGAACTTTACGTGTATGCATGGGACTTTAAGCTAAAATGGTCATAAAAGAAGCTCTTGAGTTGCATGGGGCTTTCCATGGGTGCAAAGGCAGTCCCTTTATGCCTTCTAACTCCTTAAAGAGCCTGGATATAAAGCCTCAACCCCCAACCATGCTTGCAATCATGGGTGGTCACCAAGAATGGCTTATAAAAGCCCTAAATCTCCCTAAAAAGGATCTAATGCAAGAAGAAGCAATATGTCGACTTTATACCTGCCAAGAACTGTAGATGATGCACAAGCTTGACTCCTCTGGCCAACCTCTTGGTTCCTCAAGCTTTTCCTTCATTCTTGCCACCACAAACCACTAAGAATCACCAAAAGCCTTTAGATCTTCACAACACGATTAGGGTTCTGTATGGAGTGTTCTAGGAGCATAAAGGTGCGATGGAGGCTGTATAAGGTCGTTTAAATAGGGTGCAAACCCTCAGATTAGGGTTTTGTCTAGACAGAGTCTACTCGTCGAGTCTTGCTGCCGACTCGACGAGTCCGCCACTTATCCCCGGGGTCCAAGTCGCTTCTACTCGACAAGTTGGGCCTTCAACTCGCCGAGTCCATGCCAAAATGTGAAAAAAAAAAAACTTGAATGAGATACATACCAGGAACTGGGTGCTACAGAATGTATGAGGATCCCAATGAAATCTATTTGTAACTTTCACTATGGGTGTATTAATACCCACATCATGAACATTGACAGTGTCCATTGGGTATATGATAATGAATGAAGAAAATTCTAAAATTTCACCTTAATGTTAAATCAATAGAAAAAAACAGGTAGCATGAATAGCAAACAAAAATGCATACAAGTAGAAGCAAAAAACAACTAACATGAATAGCAATCAAAAGATAATTATGAGTTTTCTATAGCACCAAAAGTTACAAGCAACATACAAGTAGCATCAATGGCAATCAAAAGAAACTTATGATTTTTCTGTAACAACAAATCAAGGATGAAGAAAAAAGAAGAAATAGTCCATGTATGTCGAATGTTCGTCGATTAAGCATGATGAAAAAAAACAAATCTGTGATCGACAATTGTTCCGGATTGTTGCTTCCAGACGAAAAAAAAGCAATAATCAATTGCCTGTCGATTGATACAAGACGAGAGAAAAATGAACAAGATGCAAACCTACCTGGTCGTCACTTGCTTGGCACGTCGAGCAAAATAGCGGATGATAGATGTGCAATGAGGGGTTTGTTGATTGACAAAGAGTTTATGGCTTACGTGTCGTTTTTTTAGGGTAATTTGGTAAATTTTCAAATCAATAAAAATAAACAATAAGCAATAAGCATCCTCCCTCATTGCTTATTAAAATCAACTTATTTGACTTATTCATATCACAATAAGCTGATTTTTAAAATTTTTTATCCAAACACTTAAATTTGCTTATTGTGGTAGGATTAAACAATAAACAACCTATTTTTTTTTCCCCTATCCAAACACCCTCTTACTTCTTATTTTACAAATTTATATAGAAAAAATTGCAAATTTGGTCCCTGTGGTATGCCTAAACTAGCATGTTTGGTCCAAAATGGGTTTGGCTTGCAAAGATGGTCCAATAGTTTCTATTTGTTGCGAGTTTAGTCCAATGGCTTAACAGCCGTTACCAAGCTCCCGTTAATTTACCCATGCCCCTCTCACTTAAGGGTATTTTAGTCCATTCATCTAGCCCCTTTATTATTTTATTATTATTTAGTCCATAAAGAGACTACAACGTATCTATTCTCGTCTCCAGCAACAAGCCCTAACTGTCACTCCCTCTCTGATTTCATCTTCTCCATCGATCACCCCCCTGTGATTTCATCTTCTCCATCGACAATGGTGATGTGCGTCTGCAGAAAGTGGGCGATAGTTCGGACATCGTGGACAGATAACAACCCAGGGCGCCGATTTTGGGGATGTCCTGACCCGGTAAGTGTGTTAAACTTTATTTTGAATACTACTCCCTGATGATCTAATGTTTCTTTCTTCTTTTTTTCAAGAATTCATCATGTGGGTTTATTGGGTGGTATGATGAACCCATGTGTGCTCGTTCCAAAGTTATAATACCAGGGCTGCTTAGGACAATCAATAAGCTACGAAAAGCAATGGATGATACAAAAGAACAAGCAAGCAAGCATGAAAAAGCAATGGAGAAGATCAAAGAACAAGCAACTATGTTGAAGTATTACCTAGTCTATAGTTGGATTTTTTTTGTTGTTGTGTTGGTGTTCTTGTTGTAAGTCCACAGGTTGATTGTGGTTATCTTTTGTAATAGGATAGGGGTATATGTGTCTGGTTTAAGTTTTTTTTTGCTAATGTGGAACATTGTAATGCAAAGTAATGGTTAATGAAAATTTGGTATCTATTGACCAATTATGGATTTGTTCTATTGTTCATACATAACCTTCTAAAGATAACATATAATGCATCCATATGTATTTAACACAAAAGCATACTAAAGACATAATACCTATTACCATCTTCAAAATACATGTCATAAGTTAATTGAAAACAAAGTTATTGCAACAAACGACATCCTGCATCTAGGAATCAAACCAAAGTTGTTCAATACAGTCAAACCAAAAGATAAAACCAACATAGACCATCAAGTCCCTCCCTGACCTTTGCATGTCCTGGAGTTGTGCCCTTTGTTTCCACACTTACTACAAGTCACACTAACAAACTTTCTTGTTAGTTTCCCACCACCATGTGGACCATGACCATGAATCTCACTGGGACCAACATCTGACCTTTGACTCTGACTTTGACTCTTGCTTTGACTTTTCTCCTCCATGGATTGCCTTCTCTTCCTCTTGGGTCTCCCAGGTTGATTACGGTGTGGGGGAGGTGTGATCTGCATTGGACACTCACTTCTAGGCCACATTGCCCGACCTTTAATTGGTTCCACCTTGTACCCATATGCAGTTTTCCAAGTTTGTAGCCAGTGCACCTTGTGGACATAAGTATGGAGCTCTTGTACACACTCACCATGATCTGCTTTGTTATACAACACAGAAATCACATGTCTGCAAGGGATACCTGTTAATTCCCATTTCCTGCAGCTGCATACCCTTTCATGCATATCAACAACATGTTGATCATTCCATGGGCCTTTGACTTGGTATTTTTCATCACCACACCATTCTGCAATGTACTGAGTAGCAGCTGCTTCATTCTTCTCCATGATCTTTGTTGCTGTTGGGGTGAGTGGGCCTAAACACTTTTGCTGCACCCTGAGGACATTGCATATCCTCTTCATCATATATTCCCTAATAAACTCCAAACAGCTAATAATTGGTTTGTCTCTCCCATCAACTAGCTTTCCATTAAACACCTCACAAAGGTTGTTTAACAGCATGTCTGTGGTTGCTCTCCCTGTATAGAAAAGGGTAAAAGTGTCATAATGTTATGTGAAGGGTAAAATGGTAAAAGGGTAAAAGTGTCATAATGTTATGTGAAGGGTAAAATGGTCATAATGTTATGTGAAGGGTAAAATGGTAAAAGGGTAAAAGTGTCATAATGTTATGTGAAGGGTAAAATGGTCATAATGTTATGTGAAGGGTAAAAGGGTAAAAGGGTAAAAGTGTCATAATGTTATGTGAATGGTAAAATGGTAAAAGGGTAAAAGGGTCATAATAGCTTACCTGTGAAATGGCTTTTTGCCCAATGTTGTGGTGGTATTGACTTCAACCATTCATATGCTGATTTGTCAAATAAACTGAATTGGTGCATGAAATGGTTAAACTCTGGCACTGTTGTAGCTGTGGCACAATCCCAAAGGTGATCTTTATATTCCTTAGTTCTCCATTGTTTCTTCATGTTCTCATGTATATGTCTGAGACAGAACCTATGCTCAGCACATGGGAACAATTGACTAACTGCTTGTAGCAAACCCTGGCAACAAATTACACATGATTAACAAAATAAACATTAAAAAAAATAAATAAACAACCATTACCTTTTGTCTGTCACTAACAAAAGTGAAATTAGACATAGCATGTAGATCCAAGTCATCACCAAGACATTCAAGGAACCACTTCCAAGATTCGCAGTTTTCAATCTCTACAATGGCATATGCAAGTGGGTATATGCCATTGTTGGAATCTAATCCAACTGCAGTTAAGATCTGGCCTGGATAAGGGCCTTTCATATGAGCCCCATCTAGCCCCAAGAAATCTCTTAAACAAGCTTTGAATCCCTTCTTCATCCCCCCTAGACAAACATAAATTCTTTTGAAACATCTTGAAGTGCAATTCACCAAATTAGATTCTGAAACATCTCCAAGTTCTAATTTGACTGTGGTATCAGGATTGGTTGACTGCAACTCAAGGATATAGTCTCTCAGAACTTCATACTGTTTTTTGTAATCACCCACTACAATCTTTTTTGCATCTGCTTTAGCTCTAAAAACTTTATGGATTGAGAAGCCCACTCCATACTTCTTCTGTAATTGTTCTTGGAGAGCTTTAACTGGGATAGTAGGGTTGGATTCTACTTGATCCATGATTTGTTTGGACATAAACTTCGCTGTTGCAGCTCTCACCTTCCTTGTATTCATACAAGTGTGTTTGTCTTCATATGTTTTAATGTACCAGCTGCTTGCATCTGTAGACCTCGAGGCATGTAACATCCAAGGACAAGAAGAATCTGCTTTTTCCTGACTTGTACCACCTTGTTTGTCCTTTTCTTTACTTTTCCCTTTACTTTTCCCTTTAATTTTCCCTTTACTTTTTTCAGCTTGGGTAGGTCCACCAACTCCATCATTAGTAAATGCCACAACTCCATTACATATGGCCCTCAATCTGGATTTGTCATTTTTTTTAAATGCAATATTCTTTTTTGTTTCCAATGCATGCATTTTGATTTTCTCTTTCAACTCCTGCTTACTGTTATACTTTTGACCTATTTTAAAATTACACTTATGAACCTCACCTAAAGAACAACTTTTTTCCTTACTTAGTTGTTTCAAAACTGCTCTTCTCTTCCTGTCCTGGTCAGAATCCTCATCCATGGAATCAAAAGCATCATTGTCAATGACATCTAACTCATCTGCTTCTTCATCACTCTCATGTTGTCTAGGATTCCTAGCCCTTTTATCTAAGAACTCTACTTCTGTATCAATGCTCATGTTAAAATCCCTCATGTCAACTTCAATATCTTCAATTACATTATCTTCATCCACCCAATAATCACTATCATCACTATCATCTTCCTGCTCTGTTTCACTTACATTTTCTTTTCCACTACTATCCATGTTAGACTGAGGTTGGTTTTCATCCATCTGAGCTTGGTTTTCTTCATCCATTTGAGGTTGGATTTCTTCATCCATCTGAGGTTCATTGACATCATGCATGTCAGTGCCATTGACTCCATCAACATTGCTTTGTAGTATTTTTTGGTAGAGTCCAATATCAAAATCAGTAGCTGCCTCAACAAAGTCTTTGGCTATCTGTTCAGTCTCACCAATATCATCAAAGTAAATTTTCTTACTGCAAGATGCCATCACTCCATCCTTGCTCATACCCCTTCTCCTATTATATCCAGGTGATAAGGATACGACTTGAACTATTTCATTAACTTGGATTTCAGGTTGGTTTGCTTGAGTGGGCACCACATCAACTAAATTATCAGTAGGTGTAGTCATCACAGGTGTTTCCTTTGATTGGTCATCAGGAGCTTCATCAATGTGTTGCACATCCTCATGTGGTTCATCTAACTGTACAAGGGTAACCTTGGTAACAGGCTTAGGATTCAAGAAATAGGTGAGTAGTCTTGTTTCACCATGCTCTGTGTATACCTTCATCACTTTGTGCTCACTGACATATTGAGAAAAGTTTGCAACATCTTGATCATTTCCTAAAGGGCGAAGACCAAAGTGGAAGTCTCCACCAGGCACAAGAAAATGGTAGTATATAACAGGAGGAACCCCATATCTAAAACCCTTCATGATTGCATCGAGCTCATGAACTGAAAACTCATCTATGTCTACCATGTCAACATAGTTTACAGTTCCATCAATGTAACGAACATCAGGGTACTTGGTGAACTCACCTCCATGGTACAACTTAATGGTAAACAATGTTGGGTGTCCATCTTCAAAACAAGAAAAAAAAACACCTCAGTTGGACTTACTTAAAAAAAATCAAGAAATCAAAAGATGAAAAAGGCCAAATTACGTACCATAAACAACCTTGGGGTTGAAGGGTGTGTTTAACAACCTTACATTCCACATTGTTATGTTCATCCACCGATAATCTCTACAAATCGCAGCTTAACTAACAGAACTGATTTTGTGTCTAAGGCTTTTATTGATCTTGGTAAAGAAACGACGGTCTACTTTATTGAGGAGGAGACGAACTGCTTTTATTGAGCTTTAGCGGGAACGGTTGCAGGGATTAATGGACTAAAATACCCTTAAGTGAGAGGGGCATGGGTAAATTAACGGGAGCTTGGTAACGGCTGTTAAGCCATTTGACTAAACTCGCAACAAATAGAAACTATTGGACCATCTTTGCAAGCCAAACCCATTTTGGACCAAACATACTAGTTTGGGCATACCACAGGGACCAAATTTTTAATTTTGTCATTTATATATATGATAGTCTATGTCTCTCTCCATTTGTATATATATGATAGTCTAGAAGAGGCTCCCTATCCAAACACCCTCTTAGTTCTTATTTTACAAATTTATATATATGATAGTCTAGAAGAGGCTCTCTGAGCCTCTCTCTCCATTTGACGGGATCCTGGTGGAGCTAGGAAATCATGGGGTCACGCCCAAATACACAAACGCATTTGTTTCTAGATCTGCATATTAGTTTTCAGATTTACAAAATATCCTGGTATAAATATATATAAATAATAGATTTTGGGTTATTTAACTCGCAACATGTGAAAATTAACATTTTTCCCATTTATTCCTCACCAGCCGTTACCCTGGATAACACGAGGATGGTGGCAAAGAAGTACATTGGGTCGTGTTGCCATTTCTGGTAACAATATCAGGTGGGCCCTGCTCATCCATCACCCGTTTTTAGGGTTTTTATGATCTTCAATTCTTCAATATAAAAAACACAAGATAATCAATTACACAAGCAATGCAAAATAGCTATGGATTGAACTGATTTTATGTCTTACTTTTCTCCTCCTCCCCTAATTTGCAGAGACACATCAGACTTCTATTCTGGTTTTGCGAAGAAAAACAAGTAAGCATGTTTACTCTATCAATGTCAATTAGATTTAAAATTCATCATTTGTCTGATGTTAAAGCGTTATGTAATTTGGGTTTTCTTGATTTTGTATCTATTTGAGTTAATGATCGTCTGATTTTAGCTGATTTCTGGAGGAAATATAAAAATTGGCTTCCTGTTCTATTGTTAAAACCCTAGGATTGTGCGCAATATATTTCTCATGGTTCCAGTTTCGTGTTAGGTTAATGTGGCTGATTGTTTATCAATAACATTTTTGTTTTTGCGTGCACAACTATCATTTGGTGTTCACTAGACTATTTTCATATAACATTCGTGTTCTTGTAAAAACACCATTGATTTTGCAGCGAGAATACATGTAATTCTGATGGATTTTGGATTTTCATACAAACTATTTATGTATTCTGTTCCCTAGATCAGTGGTAATGTTGTCATTGATTTCCATACAAGTACTTATGCATGCTGCTCTTTTGTTGCGTTTAGGGATTCAAAGTTTCAACTATGGGTGTCGATGACAAAACTCACCAAGAATGGTCCATATCCCTGCATGCCTATTCTGATCTTACCAATGTTTCTCCAGTAGTGTTCTTATATCTTCTGAAAGAATGTTACGTTTATGGTAAATTTCTTCTTTCCTCCATTTCCAATTTGTTAGAGATCAGTAACTCCTTTGAATGTTACTAAGATCTTAAATGATAAACAGGCACATGCAAAGCAACTGCAAAGTTTTTTGCCCTTCAGCATCAGGTCCATCAAGCTTTACACCATGTGCCAAAACCTGGGCCCGCTGTGTTTGTTGCTCATTGCCTCTCTTTGCTTCCAATATTCGAATCACATTGTGAAGGTTTTAGTCATTTGATGATAGCTGCTCTTAGGCGTCGTTTGAAAATGGGAACTACACAGGAAGATTTACATGAAGCAAAGTTGTTTGCTACTAAATTGTTTATAATTGCTGTTCGTGGTGATAAGATTCATGATGACAGGATACTTGTGAAAATACTTGAAGTTTTCAACATTAAAATTACAGATATCAAAGAGGTTATATTTCAATTTCACTCAGATGTGAAGAATGACAGGTTTGAAGATATAGCAGATGTCTTCGTTGAGCAGTTTATTTCTAAGCTGTTACAATCTCAATCATACATGGCAGCTGTCACTCTTCTAGAACATCTCTCTATTCGTCACTCTGGAGAGTCTTTTCTTCATATGATGTTGGAAAATAAAGAATATAGAGCAGCAGAAAAATGGGCCACATTTATTGGGAAGCCAATGATTTGTGTACTCATTAAGGGTTATGTAGACAGGAAGATGATAAAACAAGCTTATGATTTGATAAAGAAAAATGATCTGCGTGAAGAGTTTCCACAAGTATATCAAATGGGTAAAGAAAGGTATTTTTATTTTTCTGGGGTTTTTATAAAGATGTTGATTTTTCATGTAATCATCAGTGACAAGGTTTTTTTTTTTTTTATGCTGTGATATTTCAGTACACTTAAGAAGCTAGCAGAAAAGGGATGCTGGGATATAGCAGAGATGAGGGCAAAATCTGATAGGCAACTTCTTGAATATTTGGTAGGTGACTTACTGACTTCAAGTATTTGCCATTTTTTTTAATCATGTACATAAACTTTTTATTGATAATATTTGTTTTTTCATATAATAATGTGTTGAAGGTTTATTTGGCAATGGAAGCTGGTTACTCAGAGAAGGTAGATGAACTTTGTGATAAATACTCCCTTGAAGGTTTCATGAAGGGAAAAGGTATGTAAGCTATTATAACACCATGGTTTAGCTTTATGTAGAGAACTATATTATATATCTAATAATTAATTCATATTGAACTGTGTATAGAAGCTGAGGTAAGCCTTCCACATATTCGGTATCTGCATCTTGATGAGCTGGCAATCGATAACATTGTTTGGGTTGATGAGCCCATTGGTCTGGATGATGCCCACGTGTCATATTGAGGGATGCAAAGTTGTTGGGCTTGATTGTGAATGGAAGCCCAATTATGAAAAGGGAAGTAAAGCCAACAAGGTATTAAAACTAGTAACCCTATTTCTTGTCAACCAATTAAAATATATTTTTACATTGAGTAACGATTAGAAATAATATTAAAAGTTTTAGCAGCCCCTTTATTAGTTACACTGCTTGTCCATGTTACAGGTTTCCATCATGCAAATAGCTTCTGAGAAGATGGTCTTCATCATTGACTTGCTAAAATTGTCTCATGATGCTCCTGATGTTTTGGACAGCTGTCTAATCCGCATTTTTCATTCACCTCGAATTTTAAAGCTTGGTAAATAAATATTCATGCTAATCAACACCTTTTATTAGTAATTTCTAAACATTCTAAACTCTTGGTGAAAAATTCTAAAGTACAACATCAAATTGTAAGTGATAGTAATGAGATGAAGTTGTTAATTATGCAGGTTATAATTTTCAATGTGACATGAAACAATTGTCTCAATCTTATGAAGATTTTGATTGTTTTAAGCGCTTTGAAATGCTTTTGGATATTCAAAACATATTCAAAGAGCCTCGTGGTGGCCTTTCGGGTCTTGCAAAGGTAAACAAAACAAAGTTATTTATTTATTTATTTATTATTTTGTAATGTTTAAGATCTACCTTTCTGCAGTTGCTATAAAATCCACAAAGAAATATGTTTCCTCACTTTTTCTTGATTTAAAAAAAAAAAAAAAAAAAACAGGAAATATTGGGTGTTGGTTTGAATAAGACAAGAAGAAACAGTAATTGGGAAGAGCGACCTTTAACCCAAAACCAGGTTTTTCTTTTTCCATGTTTATTATTATCTGTTTCTTGAAATTAGTTTAATGAGAAATATTTATATTATAGATTTGTAACATGTGGCATTTAAATGCATGTACAGCTGGAATATGCTGCTCTTGATGCTGCAGTTCTCATTCGTATATTCTGGCATGTTCGCAGCCAATCACAATCTAGTGATGTTTCAAATGAGCACAATACCCAAATGGAGTGGAAATCCCACATTGTAAGTACAAAAACATTGCTAAAAGTATATAGTTTGGATACAAGTATAAGGTTTATAATTTTATAATGTTTCTTTTTTACTTAATCTGGTATAACTATATATCGCTGTTTCCTTTTGACTTAACAAAGGAAGTCACAGAAAATGAATTTTCCTCAAGTGTGTTGTCATTTTTTCAAATATCTTTTAAAAATCATTTATGTTGATTAATTTAGTTTGTTTCAAATATTCTTATCTACATATGGGGCTATTTCTTTATTTATATGTTCTAGTTATGTGATTCTTAATTATTTTAGTTGTTTTTTTTTTATTCTTTTTAATAAATATTGATGTGAGACTTTCTTGTGTATTGTTTATTAATAACTCATTTTATATATTTATTTATGTAGTTTGTTGTTTTTTCTATATTAAGTGCTCTTTGCACCAATTCTTTTTTAGTTATAAGCTTTTAAATTATAAAAACTCGACAAGAGTCGTATTTATTTTTACTCTTGATCAATCATCAATGTAATTTTTTCTCCAGGTCCGGCGTTGCTAGAAAAAGTTGTATGGTTTTGACTTGGTAAAATTGGTTAGAAGTTTGTTTCAAAAATGAAAGGCGAAAAAATACATTGTCAAAAAAAGAATTGATTAGGTTATTATTTTGTGTATTTAACCTTACAAAACTAATAATATTGCAAATATGATAGGGAATGCAAGGGTTGTATTTTAAACCTAAAAATCGTTGAAAAACTCTTTGTTGCTAATTACTTTAATATGATAAAATTTGAGATGTATTTGAATAATTGTTTATACGATATAACATTATTTTTAATTATATATCTAAATGTCCTTTAATGTCATTTACATTTGTCATCTAACTTATCATGTAGTTTTTACCAAATGCTATTACTTTATCAGCTAGCTTATCAGACAAAAGCTAGCTAGCTTTTTAGCTAGTCTGCCAAACACAACATTAATGAATGGCTTTGGTTCTTTGTTTTCCTTATAAAATTGGTGATGAAGTATTTGTTTGTTTCTGTGAACATACAGATTTCTCATGTAGGTTACCTCACGAAGACCAAAAAGAAAGACAAGAGCAAGAAAGATTGTAATGTGGGGATTAAAGAATCTCATCCATCAAGTAAGAGTTAGGGGTAAATATGTAATTGTTTTGCAAAGTGCATGACAAAAAAAAAAGTAGCAGTTGAAGCCTAGAAACTAGAAATGGTATGGAATTCGAATGTGTACATAATGGGATGAAATTGAATGGTGTTGGGTTTGACAATGGTTAACGTTGGTATTACTTTTATACCAACTAATTAAGGTTAAAAACATGACTTTCTATTAAGACTCTTGTTATGTATGAATAGGGAGAATGGGATTGCTTTTCAAAACAACTTATCGAACTTATTGGCTTTTTGAAAAGCCAATAAGTCAAAAATAGTATTTGGCAATGTCAAAAGCACTTTTCAAAATGACTTTTCCATTAGTTATAAAAAACCTTTAAAAAGGAGTTTTGAAAAACATGTAAAACTTAGCTTTTTGAAACTCTTTTTAGTTTTTCACCCATAATAGCTTCAAAAGGAGATTTTCAGACAAATATTTTTTAACTTATTGACTTATTGATTTTTATCGCTATAAAAGCTAAAGCAAACATTTTTTTAGAACTCATTTTACCACTACTATAAGTCAAGTCAAGAAGCACTTTTGCCCAAAAGACTTTTGAAGTTAAAAAAGCAATCCCAATTCCCCCTAAGTAAAAACGAAACACATATTTGAGTGAGTTATGCCATGTTCCTATTAAGTTCATCGAGTGAAAAGGATAAATACTTAAACACAACTTCATTCCTGTATGGAAGAACACAATTGTTTATATATATTTTTTTCTCATATAGTGTTGGATTGAAGTATGTATACATTGAGAAAGTTGAGGTATGTTGTAAAATGTAAATGAAAATTGTTGTTTTTGTGTTTGAATGATAGTTTTATCCTTTATTAGTTTATATCCATGAGAATTAATTAAACTTTTATAGTAAAAATTAATAAGTTCAAATTTAATTAAACTTTTATAGTAAAAATTCAAAATTATTAATAAATTATTTTAAATAAGTTATTAATTAAAAGATATTTTCTTAATTATATATAATTATAATCATTGATTTAAATAAATATGTGAAAATATCATTTTATAATATGTATTAATTTGATTTTAATTTTTATTCTAATGTTATTAATTTAATGTAATTAGAATGAAAAATTTAAAATTTAAAATTTAAAATGCAACATCAATAAATTGATAATCGGTATAACATTAATTAGAAGATCTAATATGATGACACGTAACAAAACAAGAATAAATATATCTTTTATTAAAATAGGAAGATTTCTGTAATAAAAATCAACTATTTTATAATATCTTAGAAAGAAAATTTTTAAATGTCAATAAATTCTCAACTTGATGCTAGAATATGCTTTTATAGACGGCAAAAACACTTTGGCATTTGCTTGACATGCTATAAATAATATCTTTCAAAGGCGGTATGGCATAATGAAAAACTAAAATGACATTTTAGTGCCATGGGAGAGAGAGAATCTTGCATGTGAGTGGTTTTTTTTTTTTTTTTTTTTTTTTTAATGGCAAGGAGGACTTGGCAGTCCACTCCCACTAGCCTTAGATCGGAAATGCCTCTTTGACAATTGGTGTTATGGCTTTGTGAGTAGGATCATTTAACATGTTTCATAAAAATAAGTTAATTTATTATAAATTGTTGTTCGGTAAACCTAAAAAATAGCTCATTGTAACTTATTTATGAATTAACAGTGCGAGTTGCAAAATAGCTTAATAAAGTTTGAGACTCTGAGCCGGAATGGATTAATGCATCCTGCTTGATTCAAGAACTAGAATAACTAAAAATATCTAATACAACTTTTTGATATATTTTACTAGACTTAAAAATATCTATAAAACAAATTATGATTATATGTATATATGTATACAGCGCATCAACATATGTTGATTAAGAAGAAACATCGGTATACAGAAGATATTTTTTTCCTATACAAGCCATCCATGTCCAAAATTTACCTGGATGGAACACGATTGAAAGCTGCTGCAAATCCATTCATGGCTCCGTAACTCTTTGAACTAAACCCTATGCAACCCAACAACCCTTGTCTGTAAGGAAGATACGTCTTCTTCCTCATCTCCTCCGCTTGTGCTCGATTGATCGTGTAATGCACTTCATGTGCTGATCGTCCCATGCTCCTCTTCCTATTCACGCCGACTCCGTTTACTACTTTCTTTGTCGTCGTTTTAGGCGATGGCCCCTCCGCCGGCGCCGTGCTGTTGCTGTTTCCATCCTCTGCTTTTGGTGATTTCTTATCTTTCTTACCAGAAGAAGAAGGCGTAAAAGACAATGCCGACCACAACTTGTGGTTGCGGTTCCGTCCTTCGCTCTTGCTTCTATATAGTAATTCCTTCAGAAACACCCATCGTTTTGAGCTCCGACCGACGGAGGATGACCGCGATGATGCACCGGACGACGGAATTTCATTATCTTCGTCAGCTCTCTGCTTCTCTTCAGCTTCTAATTCCAATTCCTCCTTGATTTCAGTAGATTCTCTTCCATCCTCAAATTCCTCCAACCATTGAAATGCGCTGTTCGTCCTCAACGGCGACATAGACCTAGCTCTTCTCCTTAACGGTTTTTTGGATCTGTACCTGTCTCTACCAAACTTTACCTCTTCATCACCGCCATTTTCTCCGTTGTTTTCGAGAACGTCGATCAACGGAGCGAGATCCTGAGGACGTTGAAGGTGAGAGGAGAGCTTCATTGGACGGATCTGGCCGTTCAAGAAGAGTTCATCAGCGGAACTCATGGATCCGGAGGGAGCTGCTCCGGTGGTTTCTTGCCTTACCGTGAACTCGAACTCAAAAGAGCCGCCCGATCCTTCTAGAGGAACAAAAGAAACGGAGTCCGTATTTGAATAGGCATGATGTGTAGGACTAGCAGGAGCACTGTAGAAGAATCCGCCTCCGTAAGAATGCGGCGGTCCACGGCCAGGACTGGACGGAGCACTAACGTAAGGAGTAGAGGTGCCACTGTCGATGTCGTCGGAGAATGTGTAATGTGGGGAGGCATTGAAGTCAGACGACGATTGAAGGTCATGTTGTATGCCTCCATTGTTACTGCAGGTTTTGAGGAGCTCCATTCGATTTCTCCCGTGGTGACAGAGTGATGAGGGTTGTAGGTTGTAACGGGAATGCAAAATAATATAAGGATCAAAATGAGTACGATCCGAAGCGGCGCCACTACCCTTCCATTATCTCTCTGTGACTCTGCCCAAAAATAATACAAGTATCCAACAGGATCCTATGTTAATAGATCTGAACCTCTTTTTTTTTTTTTTTTTTTAAATTTAATTTTAAGAAGAGTTTCAGTTTTGGTCCATGAGGTATGCACATTTCTACAGGTTTATTTTTATTTTTTTTAAATTTGATGTTGAAGATCCTCGTGGTTTCCAAACCCCTAATCTTTAATCCTAAGATAGTTACGGACTTACCGTTAGTCCTAATTCATTAAATAGATTGACCATATATCAAATCTAAATAAACCTAAAAACACAAAGAACGTTTCCATAAAATTGATAAAAAAAAAATAGAAAAAACTCAAATAAAACCTTAAACTTAAAATACAACTTTCATGCCAATCACATCTATTTTCTCCCCGTCTAAGTCTAAGCATCCAATACGTCGGCAATGCCACCCTATCTCACATTACACAACTATTTTCTCCCCAACAACCTTTCACCTCCATCGCCCACATTTTATCTATTGATTCCTAATTCCTGACAACCTACACCATGACGCCGCCACTGCATCTTATTTACTTAATCTTGACGAACCACTATCACTAGATTTGTCTCATACTCTTTCTCCTCCTACCACTTCTCAACCACTACTATCCCAAAATTCTCATCCTCTCCTTTTTCAACCACCATGGCGCTAGATTCATGCATAAAAATAATCGGGGTTAGGTTTCAGCGTGTGTCAACAGACAATGGTAGTGAAGTGAGGGAAAAAAGATAGAAATGATAGGCAGAGTTAGCAATTTCAATTTAATGATGATGACGATGGATTGTCATTATTGACGATGATAACGGGGACTAATTATTTACTTTTAATAAGACATACATACATACAAAATCAAAAAATAAGAAAAACAAAGGTGATCTTGTCGTTGTACATATATTTAAGAAAATTAGACTAAAGGTAAGGATAAAAGTGATGGATTCGGAAACTATGAAGATCTTTGGTATCAAGTTTTCAAAAATAAGATCAAATCTACAATAAAATACATACCTCAAGGACCATTAAAAGAATACGTTATTTAATTTTATTTTCCCATGTAAGATCACCTCACATGATCTCTCCATTCTCCAACATCTGTTGTGGTCCCATTTGAGATCTTCCGATAACTCATGTTTTATCAGTTTTACTTAGATATTCAATTTCTCTTAAAAAAATTAGTTAATTGTTTTTTTTTTTTTTCTTTTTAGTGTTTATACAAAATTAGCTAATTTGTGACATGATAATTGTTTTTTTCTTTTTAATGTTTATACAAAATTAGCTAATTTATAACATGTCACGTGTTAAGTCAGGACCTATGTCCATGTGACATCTATATCAAAATAACATTAGTTTTTTCTTTTATTATTTAACCCACAATAAGTACCACATAGTATACATTTGAGCAAAATTCAAGCACTATGTTATTTTTTAAATGAAATATATATATATATATATATATATATATATATATATATATATATATATATATATATATATATATATATATGTATATGTGTGTGTGTAAAACGATAAATTACAGCTCCATTGCATTTATTTTATTAGGGGTTAATCTCATAAAATATCTTATATTTGATGTTTTTTTAGATTAAACTTCAATTTTATTTTTTTCATAAAAAAACATTGTATTTTTTCATTTTTCTTTTCGATTTGACCCTTTTAGTCATTTTGCTCTAAAAAGAAATTGTAAATTGATGATTTATTTGGAAACATAAAGAAGGTTAAGGATTTTTTTTTGAAAAAAAATACAAAGTTAAAGGTTTTTTTCGAAAAAAATGAAAAGATATAACGTCTTTCATGAAAAAAATAAAGATAAGTTTAATCCGGAAAAAACACAAAATATAAAGTCTTTTATGAGATTAACTTTTTTATTAAAGTGTTTACTATGCAGAAGAAGGTCCTAAAAACAAGATTTAACAAAGTTTGTTAGTTGCGAGATTGTAGCAATCAATACAAATCATTCGAGAGGTCTTTACAATTCAGAAGATCTTCTAAATATTTTCGTTTATTCTATCTCTCATTCTTTAAATTTTTCAATATGAATATATGTCAAAATAAGTGGGTTGGGCTTGGAAAGCCTATTAAGCATTCCTAGGATCAACTCTTAAGTGTATTAGATAAGTTAAACAATCTAAAACCAAAGTCAAACTCCAAAAATGTTTTTAAAACTATTGAAAAGTTAAAGTACATCAAAAGTTGGGGAAGGCATTTTAAGTTGAATATTACAAAACATTAAAACAAATCAACAATGTCAAAAATTTAATGCATATGCTTTTACTCAAAAAAACCCAACTCAATCTTAAAGTACAATCACATCGTCAAGTTGAATGAGAATAGCTTGTGTAAAGTTAGCACATAACACACTTAACACTTATGGGCTCCAATGCTAGGGTCATGTGTTCGTTACACATGAACCACACATGATAGAAAACATTTCATCAATGCAACCATAAAGGCGCCATAATGCCAAAACACCAATTTAGGGTACCCAAGTCATAAGTGGCCCCACAAATCATATCTCATCCTAAGTAGATTTGTAATATCTTAAATTTCAAACCAAAATTTTCATTTTAAAATAAAATGAGACCATGTCATTCATCCATAAAATTAAATATTCAATTGTTTTGAAAACATAAATCGGGGTATTAATATTATAATGCGGAACATCTTAAAAACATAACAACAAGTGTGATGCAATCGTGTACTGCCAAAAAGATCTGCAACATTTAAACTTAAACCATAAAATTAAATATTCAGTTGTTTTGAAAATCAAAGGAAACCATGTCATTCATCGATGAAATTAAATATTCAATTGTTTTGAAAACATAAATCATAGTATTAATATTATAATGCGGAACATCTTAAAAACATAACAATAGGTGCGGTGCAATCACGACGTGCTCTTCCTGTATTGCCAAAAAGACTTGCAACATTTAAACTTAAACCATAAGCACAAAGCTTAGTGAGTTCTTCATGATACCACATACCAATAACGGGCCCCATCCAACATACATAATGTGTATGTAAGAGTCACAACACAATATAGTGAGAAGACTCACATGAACTTGACAGAAGCTCAATAACCACCCTAGCAATAAAACAGTTAACCCAAGCTACCCAATGCCAAACTGAGATCATTCCTTAGTCAATTATTAATAGTCAATACCATCAAAGTTTGACCAAAATTCAACAGTCAACGAACCCCCGCACCGCGACCAACTCCTTGGTTGCACCGCTGTCACTACCAAACAAAACAGACGTGAATGCAACGCATAACCATGTTGTGGTCGGATACTCACCGTGTCGCAATTAACGCTCCCACTAAAATTTTTCATTAAGCATTTAAACCTTAACCTCAAGAGCTCAAAATCTCATATTTGAAGCTTCTAAGGGACTTAATGGATAAAGTTCTTGACTTTATACATTACACCACCAAGACAACTCCAAACTCAAACCCTAAATCTCAAATGGAAGCAAAATGGACATTAAGGAAAGAATGGATTGGAAAGGGATCAAGAACCCAACTTTCTAACATGAGAATGGCCAGAACTGAATCTTAACCAACAATGTCCATTAGAGTTCTCTAAACTCCAAGTAATCATGAGATATAGGACCAATATACCATCAATAATCAATAAAACTTGTATCTAAGCATGGAGTTAAAGAAAACAAAGATCTTTGATACTTACAAAGGTCCAGAACTGAAGAGAAGGTTGCACAATCTCTTGATCTAACTTGCTTGCACCACAACACCTTGATCTTTCCACGAAAATACCAAAACTCTTTCAGAAACACTCAAAGCAAGGCTAGGATTGCTTCTTGGGAGAGAGAGGTTGAAGCGAGATGAAACCCTAGCCAAAATGTTGCTTAAGTAGGGCGTAAGGCCCAATATTTAGGGCTTAGAACCCATCAACGGACACGTCGCGAGAATCAATCAGATAAGCTCCTCATTTAATCGACATGGCCATGCTGCGGACAACCGACAACCATGTTGCGTCAAGATCCCAAAAACTAGCAATCGGATGTTACATGATTCATGTTAATGATTAAACACTTTTCAAAACAATGGCATTATCCCTGATTCTAAAACTCATTATGAAATTCATTTTATGAATATGCATATGTATTATGTATAATATTCACATATAGTATGCATCTAATATCACAAAGTAAAGAAATACCAAATCATCAAAATATTGTAGGGGCATGTATTATTGGGTAATGAACACACCTCAACTTGTTGTAATACATTACCTCACTTCAAATGTCGTTTGGATGTCTAGTTGTCACCTAAGGATAAACATAAATTAAGTGACTAACTATTACTACTTTATAAACATTTAGGTAAAAGTTTCCAAAATTAATTTTATCTCTTACATATCGTCCCTAAGTTGTTGGATAAGCAATGGAAGCAACTAAAGTTGAATTGAATGTTTGATGAAAATGTTCAATTTTCTTGACAAAAGGTTACTCGATTGGGTAGACTTTTTTTTTATTCCACTTGATTGAACGGAGTGACGTGACAACTCAAATTGAGTTTTAACTTCCATTAAGCTTCCAAAAATCATATAACTCTAACACATATGATTAAACTTCTAACGACATAGGTTAATTATCTAACATTCAAATACATCTTTTAAACATTAGTTAACAACTTGTTAATTATCATTAAACCATATATTCATTTGTTAGATGAAGGTTTGATGGTTTATGGTTTCAAACTTTAATTAATTTCATTAACAGACACATTAGCTTCCAAATAAGAAATTAGGTTCAAATGATGATTCAATACCATCAAATAAGATCCTAATATGATTTAAACTAGATTTATAAAATAAATGGA